GAGACCATCCTATATCTCATTCTTTCGCGTCAACGGAGAGAGACCAAATCCCAACAAGCGTTCATCTACTGAAATAGGATACAATCCCGACAAGCGAAATCATCTACTGAAAAAAAGGAAGGAAGACAAAAAAATGTTGTTCCCGAAGGACTGCCAACAACAGATCCCAATGAAACGACAGGCGGTAAGCACGAGCAGATCACCGAGACATCGGCCTCTACAGGAGTTTACTGTCTTCCACCGAACACAACACACCCTCGTTATGACTGTACCGGACATTCAAAATGGAGTGCGTTGCGCTCGCACAAAGACGATAGCTATGCGAAACAACAGAGTAATTGAACAACGGAGAAACGCAAGCAAGCAGCAACGACGGTAGGGGCCAAGGCAGCGAAGGACTTAGTCTGATGATACCAGAGGCCAGAGGGCAGCAACGACAGACTACCGCGAGAAGGGAGCCACACAAGAAGACGATGCCGAACAGAACAGCGATGGAGAGCGAGCGGGCAAAAGGGGGGCAAGAGAGCAAGGATGCGAGCAAGGGAGAGACGGTATAAATATATGCGAGAGAAAGGGGCCCTCACTCCCCGCCAGCCAATTGTGGAGAGCCTATAAAAAACACTTCACTTCACGATTGCAAGTGTGGCAAGGGTGGCGGATCGAGACCCAAATTGATGATGACAGCTGCGACGAGAGCGGGAAAGCGCAGTCCTGACATGGAACTACTACTAAATAATTCCGCGACCAATCTTCAACGTGCTGATCTCCAATCTCTATATTCCGACTGGAATGAAGAAAGCCGCGACGCGTTGGCACCTTGTGCGTGGCAGAGAGCAAAGACGAAGCAGATCTGCGAGAGCGAAACGGTGGCACCAAGCAAGAGCGAGCGGGCAACAATGTCGTCAGAAGCTATGTGCAAAAGCAGCGATGCAGGCTGCGGAGATCGGCAATCGGACTTCCGTCTTCATCCGAATAGAACGCCCGGTCATTACAGCTGCACTTGGTCCAACGTTCAGACCAGATGCAGCGATAATGACCCGGCGTTCTATTCCGGCGAAGACAGTAGGCTGCTTGCTATAAGAGACGGCAGTCGCACCAATTAAAAAATGCCAGTCGCACGCGAGGAAAGCGACGTGGGACGTCAGCGCTTCTGAAGAGAGTAATCCATCCCTCCGACAGCTGCAAAAAGGAGCAGCGACGCAATGTTATCGAGAAGCGCTTTCTAATAAGGGAGGGCGAGCGGCGATTCGACGACAGAGGTGAACAGCAATGAGAGCGTGCAGCGGATAGACGGCAGGGGGGGTGATGACAAGAGGATGGGCAGCGATCGAAGAACGCCGGCCGCGATAGAAAAGGGTCAGCACCTATCAGAACGTACAATGATAAGGGGGGGCGGGCAACAATGAGAGGAGGTTGGCAGCGAAGAGAGTGGGTGCCCGGCGACCAGAGAGGATAAGGAGCGATGGTACAAGGTCAGAAGCTACAGGCAAGGTCTTCAAGGTCGGAAGCGACAGGCAAGGTCAGCTGAGAAGACAAGGGGACGGAAATGGCAGGCAGCGAAGGAAGGCGGCTGGAAACAATGCGAGCGGGTAATCAGTGGTATGATAAGATGAACGCACCGAGGAGACAAGACGCAACGACCAGACACTAGGAGCGCCGGAAAAAAAAAAAAAAATGACGAACAGCAAGGAGAGAGGACGTCTAGAGAAGGGATGACGCCGCGCTGTGATCGAAGGGAGTCCGGGGCGAAGGAAGATAATTCGCATAGCAATGAGCGGGGGTGGGCAGTGATGGGACGCGCGCTCAGCGACGAGAAGGCACTGGCGCAAGAAACGCAGCGCCAGGAAGAACGCGCAACGAGCCACGTGGCAGGGGCGCGGAGACGACGTCAAGTGCGCGATAAGCTCGTAATGTAATCGAGAGAACGCATACAGATCTGGAGAACTTAATAGAAAAGCAAACAGCCGTGCGGAGCCGTCAGTAAAGGGCAGGCGTGGTATAACGAGGAAGATTTCAATGAGAGAAGAAAGAGAAGAATGAACGAGGATGGGAAGACGAAAGGACAGATGCAAGGAGCGAAAGGATCGACTGAGCAGCAGTATCAGATGAGCAGCGGAAGAATGTAAGGAGCAGATGAAATACCTAACTCACGCAGAGTAACCTAACACCTTGGCATCCCGTTTGACGGAAAACGCTGAACTCCCAGCAGGGAGCAAACAATGGGGTACAGGAGCTGAGGCGAACGGAGAGCTGACCGGGGAAACAGCCAGAGAACTCGTGGAGGGGAAGATATAGTAAAAAAGTGCGCAGAGCGGGCGGAACTGAGAATGGGCAGAGTGAACCGATTTTTCAGAGGGAAAAAATAAGCAGAGGTCAAAGAGGTGGACAGACTGGATGGTACAGAAGACAAAACACACGGACGGCACAAATATGAGGCAGAGAAGGATGGAGCAGAAGCGAAGGATGAGCAGAGAGATCCTTCGCAGAAGGATGAGCAGAGAGAGAAGGACGAGCAGAGTATTCCAGATGAATATGACAAGAGGGAGGAAGGAGAGAGGAGGTCAAGACTGACAGGATACGCACAACGGAAAGCGGGATGAAGAAAGCCATAAGAAAAGTAGATAAGAATGCAGAGAGGATGACAGCAAAAGAGACAGCAAGCGGACGATGGGAAATAGAAAGATATAAGCAGGAGGGGAGAAAAAGGAAGAAGATGCATAGAGGCAACGAACGGGTAGAGGTACAGAACTAGACGACTCAAACAGTCGCAAGAGCAGGGCTGCAAATAGACCACAACGCGAAGGGGCAAGGACGCGGAGACAAGTCATATGGAGAAGGGGGCACCAGGATCTAGACAGCATCAGTATAGAAGAGCAGCAACTCAAGGGATGGCCAGGATCTGGGGGGTAACAGGATCAGGGACCACCACCGTCAGCGTGGAGGAGCACCGTCCGGGTCCTGGAGGCAGATCGGAAGGGGACCGGGTCGAGACGGAGGGGGCCAGATCGGCAGGTAGCAGGATCGCGAGGTAGCAAGATCGGGATGGAGCGGAGTCGGGATGAAGCGGAGTGGGGAGGGAGCGGGATCGCGAGGGACCAGCATCGGAAGGGGCAGGACCAGGATCGGGGCAGCACCAGCATCAGGGAACGACCAGCATCAGGCTAGGACCAACATGAGGGCAAGACACCATCGGGAAACGATCAGCATCGGGACAAGGATCAGCGAAGAACCCGCGTTGAGGCGGCATCAGGTCAGGACAACGTCTAGGTAGCATCTGGGCAGGACTGGGATCTCGACAGGAGCAGGGTCAGGAGAGCGGCAGGACCCGGATAGGGGTAGGCAGAATCCGGAGAGGGGCAAGCAGAATCCGGAGAGGGCCAGGCAGAATCCGGGGGGGGGGGGGGGGGGGGGGGGGGGGGGGGGGGGGGGGGGGGGAAGGCAGAATCCGGAGAGGGGCGTACGCAGGATCTGGAGAGGGGTAGGAACGGTCGGGAGAGAGGTAGGCAGGATCGGAAGAGAGGTAGGCAGGGTCGGGAGAGGGCTAGGCAGGATGGAGAGAGGAGCAGGATCGTGAGAAGAGTCAAGGGAGAGACAGGGTAGGGAAAAGGGCAGGTTAGCGAGAGGGGGCACATAGGGCGGGATGGAAACAAGTATAACCGAGAGAACGGCGGGACGGCGAAGCAGGCTAACGAGGGGAAGGTTGGGGAGAAGAGGGACTGGGAGAGGAGATGAAGGCGGAGCCGGATCGGGAGAGGACAGGGATGGGGAGAGAGAGGTATGTGAGGGGAGGGATGGGAAAAGCAGAGGACCGTGGAGACGAGTGGGATGGGCAGAGGGGAGTAGGTAGAGGAGTTGCCAAAGGAGCGAGAGGAGGGGCAGGGGAAGCATGCGAAGTGGAGAGGGACAGGGAGGGAGGGATGAGAGATGAGGTGGGATGGGAAGACGAGGGATGAGGAGACGACTGGGAGAGGAGAGAAATGGTAGGTACGGGGAGAGTAGATATGGGAGACGTGAGGGATGAAGATGGAGAGGGGTGGGAAAGCGAGAGGAGAGGGAGAGGAGAATGAGGGGAAAAGAGGGGGCAGGAGGTGAAGAGGGACCGAGGGAAGGAGGACGAGGAGAGGATAGGATAGGGACAGGTAGAGGCGAAGAGATGTGAAGTGCAAGGATGTGAAGAGAAGAGAACGGAAGAAGAATGCGAAGTGCAAGATGATGCCAAGGTAAGGATGCAGGGCAGTGCCGATGGGAGGAGGGCGCAGCGCCGATGATACGATTGGCCACTTACGAGAGAGCCAAGCTGTGCACAATTGAATGAGAAACTGATGGGTGCAGGAAGGTGAGGAAACGGCATTATGAACGATACGATGTCGGCGGGAACAGCGACGGAGAGAGAAGAGTGAACTGTAAAAAAAACACGACGGCAAGTGACAAAAAACTCTCGCCAAGTTTCCAACTGGTACAAAAAACATAAGAACCGATAAGTAATACTGTATGTTGCTTGTACCAAAAAGTAAAACTGTATGTTTCCCATTCCGGCGCCAAAAAGTAGTACTGTATGTTGCTCCCGTTTGCTAATATATTCACAACACGTGCGGCCTCATCTTTTTTATTCGCTCTTCGCTAATGAAAAGCGAAACGAGATCCGAGTCTACACACCTGTTCCAGCCCTCCTCGAGATGTCACCTCGCTGTATAGCATGTGCATGTCCAGCTCTTTTCCCGCCACGTTAGGAATCCTGGAATTAACAAGATAAAAAGAAACGTGAGAAACTCGACGAGGTAGTTTTTGTCATTCACTTGCCACAAGAAATTCAGCAGGTCAATCGCAATTCAGTTAATAAACCATGAACACCAATTTCTAGAAACGCCAAAATAAGTACCGATATATGGTATTTTATACGACGTCCATATATCATACTACCTCCACAATCTCTCACAAAACGAAGCAGTCACAATAGAGGTAACCGAGAATGAAGAAAAGAATGGATTAAGATCGCAACTCTGGATAACTATAGCCTAATCAGGGCGTATTCACACTAGGGCTTTACTAAATGTACCTGACTGCAATTACGGCCAGACCTGGATGCCTGTGACCGCAATCAGGTCCCTAGTTTGAGTAAGTATGCCCTCTTCTCAGAACAAAACTATCGACTCACATCTTCAAATAGCCCGAAGCAACCGATTCTACGCCAACCCGTGGCGTCTCTCTCTCTCTCGCGTTTGCCCTTGCGCGCAAGTTAAGAGATCCCGCTTTCTCCTCGCCTCTCATTCTTTCGCCCTTTCTCCCTCAACCTGTCTTAACCCCCGTCGGACCGCAGCCCACCCCCTCTTTGCTCCTTTTTCCGGCCCTCCAGCCCTCTCTCTGCTTTGCCTTCTCTTTCTGTAATCTAGCGCGCGACGAAACACTTCCACCATTCATAATGACGCCGGTAAACTCTGATCTACATTAGGATGTCAATCATCCCTCTATTCGTTTGAGAAATGGATTTTTTTGGAATATCCCCAACTTCACCACGGTCTGCCTTACTTACTAGAGTTAATAACTTCGACCAAAAACCCCTCTATTCGTTTTGCAGTACACTTTACCATGGCTAGAGAACTTCAGCAGGGAGGTTGCGATGCGACAGCGGCGAGACGTTGCGATACCAAGGTAGTCCATACTCAGCAGCATTAGTTAATCCTCTTCCGCCACCCCCCCCCCCACCACCCTCTAACCGAGCCCTTAGCCAGCTACCTTCCACAGCTTCTCTAAAGACGCCTCCGCTCACTCACTGTTGTACCCGTATCTCACCCTTTGCTACGCACATCAGTCTGTCACGTCCCATTCATGCTCCTCACTGTCCCACCCACGCGCCGTGACACACGAGAGCGCGCTCTTAACTAAACCCAGTGTCAAGTAGAGACCTCCGCCTCGACCGTCGTTTCAACCGCAAACGCAGTACAATCTAGGCATGTGGTACTCCCTTACGAGTCTATCACTCTTTTCATTAACCACGATGTGACTCCAGTCGATCTCGCCACGTCGACTTGACAAGATCAGGCGCGTAAAGAACCCGCCAAAATTGGGGATGAAAAAGAAATTAAGAAATACAGACAGAAACAGCAACGAACTGACTTCGCGCCGGACCCCACACTCAATCCCACCAAGATTCCGCATACACTGTCAAGTACACATTCCATTCCATTGGTCATCAACTCCCTCCCTCCCTCCCTCCCTCCCTTGCTCGTTCCTCCGCGCAGTGAATTGCCACCGCCTCGTCTTCAAGAGTCTATATAGCCGCAGCCTCGTCTTCCCTAAACATCTGCAACAGTGCATCGCCCACCCACCTGTATCTCTTGCCGTAAAGCAGCCCGCCAGAGCTCTACTTCATACGGTCCTCAGAACAAACAACCGAGACAATCTCTATACAGTTGTCTTCATTATTTCCCAGCTCTCGTCGCTCCGTTTCACGCATGAAATCATTTTGCCAAAATCGAAAGAGAAAAAAAAGAGGGGGGATCGGACGCGGGAATAACACGAAACCCTCCTCCACATCCGCCGGATAGGAGACAAGTGGCGCAATGAGGAGTACACAAAGAATCAGCGGCGGGATCGGATAGCAGCGAGGGTGCAGACTGCGACGGGAGTAGAGTACTTCTGAATCTGTTATATAGTCAATAGGAACAGGGCGCAGAGAGAACAGCAGACAGACAGATGTACCAGGCAAGTAAAAGATATGAAGAGGACTAGTTAAAAAGCCGATGGAAATAGATTTTGAAGGGAATGGTTGATGGAACAACCAGATCGCGGACTACTGAGTACATCTTACACGCGCGAGGTAATGAACCGACGGGGAGAAGAGAGCCGTCGATCGACATCGTGCACCAAAACAAACAATTCCAAAGCCCTCTTGACTCAGTGATTGCAGATGGATTACGATGGCGAAGTGTCTCCGAAGGTTCATTGTAAAAAACATCGGGCTGCTGTCCTGTCGATTATTGCCCTGCCCAGCTGTCTGTCTTGACGATTGACCTGTCTACCGCTAACAAGCGACGACAGTCGTTAGATCGATCTTGTCGCGGTCATAGGTGAACAGCTTCTTACCTGAGAGGGGTTCCGCATGCTGCATGGAACTTCTGGAGACTGTCGAGAAACAACCCTTTGTCGGCCACAACGGCGTCGTGACTTGCCAAAGGTTCGGGATAGACAGAGATTTGAAGCGGAACATCTGAATCGCCGCCATGGACTCTGTCAGGTGAGGCGGGGAAATCGTCTTGTGCGCCATCGGACCCACTCGCCACGCGGCCACCCCCGGTGCTCCTGCTCGAGACATCGGCGGAAAGGTGGGGATGATGGAGATGATGATGATCTTCTATACGCAAAGAAGAGGGCGGCGGCGCAGGCTGCTGCGATTGCTGCGGGGGGACTAGAGCGAGAGGAAGAGGAGGGACGCCAGCGGCGGAAACACCGAGCGCTGGAGGGGGAAGAGAGGTAGAGGAAGGCGACGCCGCAGGAGGAATGCCAAGAGGAGAGGACAGGGGGGGAGGAGGAGGAGGAGGTGCGAAGCAGAAAGAGGGCACTACGTGCTGCTGATGCTGCTGCTGGTGGTGGTGTTGCTGGTCGAGATGGTTTGCGCCGCCATGCTGCATACAAGGCGGGACAACGTCTTGCTGCTGATCTCGCGAAGTCTCAGTGTGACGGACGGTCTCAATTTCAAGCTGCTGCTCCCTCGACGGCGGAGGAACTGCAGCTGCTGCTGCTTCCCCGATCTGGGCGGCAGAAGGAAAGCCTAGTACTGGATGCACTTTGGCCGGTTCGAGTTTTGCTTGCTCGGCCTCCATTGCTGTATTGCAGCCCTCCCTCCCTCCCTCCCTCCCTTGATGTGCCAAATGATCGTCCCTTCTGAGCGCCACGCAAATTTAGTTCTCCTCCTACCCACCCTATGCTGTTTCCCCGTTCTGGGCTGGCCCGTCCCCGTCCCCGTCCCCGTCCCCGTCCGCGCCCCTGCCGTGCCCTTCTACACAAGCGCAACCGACACGCACCCGGCCAACCCAGCTAAACCCGCGCCCACACGCCCCCCGTCCTAACGACCGCCCGCGTAGACCGCTCGCCCACCCCCACGCTCTCTCGCGCTGGTCGCCGCTGTGCCGTTGGCGTGGTTCCTCCCTACCGATTGGAATTCCGCGAAGGTGAGTGCATCCCCAGCCCAAAGGGAGGGAAGGCCGTTGTAGTCAGCTGTTTCAATTTTAGGGCGAAGTTTTCATTTCGGGCGTTGCCGGGGCCAGGTGCCCGCAGGGTTGGCCTCATACCATGACCATCGCGCGGTACTGTGTCCTCGGGCGATGGTTTGCTCCCATGAGAACAGCGCCTTGTTGCATCCTGAGACTCGGACTGGCGGGTGAGAGGGTTGGACTCGTACCCCCGTTTTGTCCAGTGCGCTGTGCCTGCCCGGTATCTGCAGGGGCTTGGAGAGAAACACCCCAGCGGCCGACGGCCAACGTTCGATTCAAGATCGCGAAAAAGCAGCACGAGGCTACCTTGGAGGCAGAACCGTTTGGGCATCCGCGATCAGGCCACTCGGTGATTCAGGATGCTGCACAGTAGGATCTTCAATCCAACGGGCCTCTCACCATCCGGCAGGCACGGCTTCTACACACGCCAAAAGGTGCTCCCGAAGGTGATCCCATGCCTAGAATTCGTATATCGGATGTGCTTCGGAAAAAAAAAGGGGGGCGTGAAGGGAGAAGAGTGCAAGGCGCTACCCGCTACGTGTAGCGGCACCACCGATGACAGTGGGACTGATACCATCGGTGTTGGGAACGCTGCAGGTACCGCCTGGAGTGGCTGGCATTGGTTTGCCACGTCCTACATGGAGTATGAGAAAGATGATAGTGTTCGCAGCCCGTCAGGGGTGCGTTTTCCCCCCCTGAGAATATTTTTCGCCGTCGTTCATTATCCGGTCGTTGGAAGGCTGGAAAAACAAGGCATGGCAGTTTAGGGGGTGGTGGCATCTTATTTGAAACTGCAGGACCGGTAGCTGCCCGTGGGACCGCACGGGTTTTGGTCCAGGACCGCGTAGGACTGGTAGCTGCGCATAGGAGGCCGAGGAGGCCGCAGTCCTTTTTCGAAATTGAAACGGTGCGGGTCCACTTTTCTCGAATAGCATAGTTCCTCGAAGAGAAAACACACATTGTATTCGAATACAACCTGTACCCTTTCTACTCGGATTTCGAAAAGAAAAAACTCTTGCATTCCGATAAAATTACTTCTTCTTTTTGTTGGAGGTCA